GGGAGGGACTCTGACATTTCCATGATTACTTCAAAATACTTCTGAGGTCGAGAAAGAACTGGAATTTAAAGCAAACCTCCATCCCCAGCAGGGACTTGCAGAATGACCCGTGAGGAGCTTTTAGTGGAGCTATAGCTTTGTAAAGTTTGCTGGGCACAGGCCAGAGGTGAAGGGGGAAGGCTATCAGCACTAATTAACACTTGAAAGGCGTGCAAAAGCTGGAGAAAGTAGAAACACCCAGCCAGCCATTCGGCTTTTATCACTTAGGGGAAAATTATAGGGCATTTAATGCAGAAGAGCCCGTAGCTAATATTTTTGAAATTGTTACTTAATGTGGACATTTCCAGGCTGATGGTAGTCAAGCCTTTCCATATAAAATATTGCTGACTTCCAGGTCTGAGAAGGATCAGCTAGTGAAGGCAGCCTGAGGGTGTTCTGTGGTGAAGAATGAAGCAAAATGGAAAACCAAGCATGGATAATTGTCTGTAACAGCAAACTCTCAATGTTTATAAAAATCTGTGGCCTGCAAAGAAAACATTCTGATCATGTTTTAAAAAGTAATGTTACTTTTTCAAAGTACCCTCAGAATTCATTCACGGCAGGTAAACTTTAGCTCTTTTCATAAACCAAGTGCTTGTGCGTTCCATTCTAGGACGAAGTATCAATGTAAAATCCGCTGGTCTCGTGGGAAGACATGGGCCTCAGTCAAAACAACCGTTCATGGTGGCCTTCTTCAAGGCAAGTGAGGTACTTCTTCGATCTGTGAGAGCGGCGAACAAACGGAAAAATCAAAACCGCAATAAATCCAACTCACATCAGGACTCCTCCAGAATGTCCAGTGTTGGAGGTAAGATAAAACCAGAGCAGCAGTTGTGTGCAGAGAGTTATGGGGTCATATGTTGCAAATCAAGTAGCCACAATAAATTTACCCTTTGGATATACCTTTGTTTGGTCTATTAAATCATGCAGCAATGTTTCGAACATCCTCAGAATGTTTCATCACTGAATCACTCAGTTGTGCATTTCAAAGTAAGTACGACTCGCCTTTGTATGTTGAAAGATTCAGTTCAAATTAAAATCAAGCTGGCAGTAATAAAATTATGAAATGGCTACGTCAACAGAGTCTAGCCAAAACTGAAGTGCACAACTTGCTAAGTTGACATCTCCCAGAACCTCTCAAATTTGGATGGGTAACCAGGTAGATTCAACAGAAAAATACTTCTTTAGTACTTGAAGCGATACATGTGAATCATGCAGTTTACATTTTTTTTTTCTGACAATAAAAGGACAGATTAAATGGAAATTAAGATAATATTTCCATTTCCACTAATTATTTGGACGCTATTGTCTAGATAATCTGCTTTAAGTATGTGTATGTACATACACACATACGTATAACACTTAATAACAAAATATTACAGATGCACAATTATCCCAATGTACTTGCAAGTTAATCTATTAATTGATAGAAAAGGAAGATAAAAATACAGTAGCTTGGAATGAATGGTTAACTGCCAAAATCTGAAGTTATTGAATCATATTATTTATACCAGTAAGTACCTTGTTTAGTCCAGGCTGCGAACAGATTTTCGTAAGCCTTTCTTAGATGGAAATGATGGCTATTTTATTCCAAGAAATTTTCTTTATCTATAAAAAATAAATCTGTTTGAAGGGGAAAATTTACCCTAGAACATCCCAACTGAGTACAATATGTTTGTTCATTTGAAAAGTATGTGTTCTATGTTAATGGCCACCATATGGAGTGTACTTGCCAGGCACAATGGATGAGCTGGTGAACAAAACAGACAAGATCCCTGCATACGGTATTCAAACAAATTAGAATGCTTTACTCTTCCAAAAAGACATTCAGACAATATTTGCCATTATTCCTGCAATCTTCACTTTTTTCCCTCAATCACTTGAAACTGACAAATCATACTGCACTTTTTTGTTACTCACATGTATATGTGTGTTAAGAAATGATTATAAATAAAACCAAAATAATACGTTTTATTAAGTTTTTTACACCTGGGACGCTCCACAAACATACTAAGCTGGAGTTCACTGGAAGCTTCCTAAGAAGTCTGTTTGATGTATCCAGCAACAGAAATGGGGATAGATTTCTTTATGAAATTACATTTTACTAAACTACATACTACATATAGAGCAATGCTTTAAAATGATTTTTCAACAAATAAGTTTAGCCATATTTTTCACTTGAAAGTAAAACATGATATTTGTGCCTTGTTACAAAGCTATTTTATAAAGATCTTCACAAGATATTTAGTTTGGCAAAAATTATAATTGCTTCATATGAAAGATGGAGAAAAATAACTTTCTAAGACCTTTTCTTCCCTGTAAATACTAGCCTGTCAAAGTTGTATATTTTTCTTTTCATGTAGAATGGTTCTGAAATTGGTTGAAATGTTTTTAATTTGATGTAGCAGTCTGCATTAAGAAAAAGTTTTGTTAACCATGGATAGAATAGTGAATAATTTTTTAGGAAGTCACAAAGGGAAAAGTGCAAGTTGCATACTTATTATTGGAGCTTGTAACGACTGTGGCAGAGGCGTTCCAGAGACTGAAATCATCAAAGTTCTTTTCCCTGTTGGTGAACTCTATTTATCTTCTCTTTCTGACCACAAGTAACAAATGTACTTCTATAACTAGAGATGAATAAAACACATGGAGCAGAAATCATGTAACTTTTCACCAGTTTCCTAACACTGTTTAGAGTACAGAATTATTCTAATACAGACCAATATTTTCTTTTTAAAAAGTTTGTCATTGGCAGCCATTTCTGTGAAATATGTGGTAGATGTTTTGGAGCATGTTCATATTTTGATAATAAGAAAGAAAGTAGCTGGTTTGTGTCTAGGAGACGTAACCTTTCAATAGGTAGTAATCAAGCAGACGGGAAGAAGTCTCATAGGATTTCGCCTAACAGACAGGGGTTTAAGGAAAGGGAATGCTAATATAAACACAAAATTTGATACTTAGGAGACTTGAAATGCCAGTGAAATTTTAAAATTATTCAAATATAAATAATAAATGCTGTAATAGCACTAAGCCTTTACAATAAATTACTGTTTGAAGACTACATGGCTAAGAAAGAAGCCAATGGGGGAAGAGAGTTGTATTAGATGTTTACCTGATTGCATTTTGTTCTTCTCCAAAGCATATTGCCAAATGTCAAAAGTCTCAGTTAATGCAGGAGAATTAAAACCCAGGTCATTCTCACTTTCTCTACCCAATTTCTTTTCTCTTTCAAAGATTCTTGCCTTCCAACTTCTTAGTAACCCTTTGTTCTGTAGGCTTGCTCTATGGAAGAGCCTAGAACATTGTCTAGCACAAAATAGGAATTGTTAAGTAAATTAATGTGTCCATTGTATGGAGAAAACTAAATTCCTCTTTCAGGGGAGTATACACAGTGCCACAGTGCCCAGATTTTCTGTAGAACCTGTCCCTCTTTGTTTCTGTTCAGATTTTTGGCAAGGAGTTTGAGCAGACACATTGCGGGAGATATTGCCTCCCCATGAGGCAGCACAATGGATGTTTATTTGAATTTTACATGTGGAGGAAGAAACTGGAAGTAATAGCTATTTTATTAGTTAGGTTAAAAACGCTATATGTACTAGGTTGATAAGATTGTAAAGAATCTGCTGAGAACAAGATGCTGTTCTAAGGACTATATCAGTGCTGAAAAGATTAGAGTATTAAGAATTTGGAAGAACTGTAAGACAAATGGCAAGTCCTCGTTCACTGCAGATCTTGAAAAGTCTGCTTATTGTGTGCTGGATACTCAGTGTAGTTGAAGGTGAATCCAGTCATTAGTTGCTCTGCCTAAGATCTTGGTGATTTCTTAGGTCAACTAGTTCAAAGAGTCATTGGAATGGAAACATTTTGTATGTATTTTCAACTCTGATAGGCACTATCTTTTGCCTAATACATACAGTATAAAGTCATGCCTCTTGGACAGACTGATGTTAATCAAAACCAGAAAGAACAATTAATTACAATTATTTCCCCAAAAGGTTTTATATCGTAATTAACACATATTTTCATTACTTAAAAATAAGCAAATAATAACCAAAACTAAAATTCTCTCTAGATCCCCTAAATACTTTTGAAATAGGTTACTCTGATATACATATCAACATGGTATTTGTACTTCTTTGTACATGTATTTGCAAATCTTTTCCTCATTATATACATCTCTTGTGGAGAATATATTTTTATTATGTGTTTTTAATTATGTAAATTATATATCTTATGTAGTTTTCAGGACTATTTTAGAGCAGTTTTAGGCTCACAACAAAATTGAGAGGAAGGTACAAAGATTTCCCACATACCGCTGCTCCAGACATGCTTAGCCTCCCCCATTATCAACGTTACTCATTAGAATGGTGACTTTCTTTTTTTTTTTTTTTTAATTTTTTTTTTTTCAACGTTTATTTATTTTTGGGACAGAGAGAGACAGAGCATGAACGGGGGAGGGGCAGAGAGAGAGGGAGACACAGAATCGGAAACAGGCTCCAGGCTCTGAGCCATCAGCCCAGAGCCCGACGCGGGGCTCGAACTCACGGACCGCGAGATCGTGACCTGGCTGAAGTCGGACGCTTAATCTACTGCGCCACCCAGGCGCCCCGTAGAATGGTGACTTTCTTACCAAGGATGAATCACAAGGAAGAATCTATAATTTTTCAAAGTTCATACTTTATATCAGGGTTAACTCCTGGTGTTGTACCTTCTGTGGGTTTGGGCAAATATATAACGACATGTATCCATCATTATGATATCATACAGAGTACTTTCATTGTCCTCAAAATCCTCTTTCCTTTGGCTATTCATCTCTCTCTCCCCTTAGAAACCACCGGTCTCCTTATTGTCCTCAAAGTTTTGGCTTTTCCAGAATGTCATAGAGTTGGTTTTATGGATTTTTTAAAAAACAATATGTCTCAGCCATCTTTCAAATAGAGTGACCTCATTCTTTTTAACTGTTGCAATATTGTCAGCAGTGTGTGTGTCAGGGTAGATTTAGTCATGCCACTCTTAAACAGCATTTTGGTTGTTTCCAAATTGGGGCTCTCAAGCTCACGGTTGCAGTGGAAACCCTACAAGGCTGCACCTGTGAGAATGTTTCTAATTCACTTGATTTATTTAATAGTTAACACTAAAAACTGTTATTTGTGCCCTGAATCATGCAAAATTTTGGAAATCCCTCCTAAAGCAACAATTATTTTTGTGCATATATTATCTATCTGTACATTTATTTATCTGTTATCTATTTAGGATTTTGTCATTTAATCCTGAGTCCACCATTTACTATTTGTAAAATCTTGGACAAGATGTCACCTCTCCCTATCTCTGTTTCTTCATCTGTAAAGTGAGAATGTTAATAGTATTTGCCCCCTCAGATGAGAATTAAATTAATTCAATGAACTAATGAATTAAATGAATTAAATGAATTAATATTAACAAAAAACTGAGAACATTGGTACATGGCTTATTTGGTATAAGCCATTATCACTGTTAATTCTTAATGAGTTATATGGTTTGGTGTTTCAGAACTGGTGCATAAAGAGTTCAGACTCTTATATCAGAGAAAACTAGAAACTCTCTCCCTAAAAAGTACCAATATTCCTGTTTATTGGAGTTTCTTGGCCTTTGAGACTTCAGAAGCAAGAAGGATTTTATTTTATTTTTTTTTAATGTTTACTTATTTTTGAGACAGAGAGAGACAGAGCGTGAACAGGGGAGGGGCAGAGAGAGAGGGAGACACAGAATCTGAAACAGTCTCCAGGCTCTGAGCTGTCAGCACAGAGCCCGATGTGGGGCTCGAACTCA